GACGCTGTTTGGGTTTCTGGCACTACAGGGGACTGGGGTATTTTAAAATACACATCTATTTTTTTCTTACCCCAAGAATCTCTTTCTTTATTATGCAGCCAATGGGACGAGCCTATAAAGCTCTTTCTCTCTCTCCCTCTCGCTTTTTTTAACAAAAATCAAATGATAATCCTACACAAAATGCCCGGGTTCTTCTCATAAACCATGCTAATATCAATGAAAATTCCAAGCATAAAGATTTGCATTTCAATGAGAAATAAATTAAATTTTCACTGTAATTTGGGGCTGGGAGGAGCGGGACAGCTTTTACAGTTCAGGTAACGTTTTCAAACATGTTTTTGCGCCTGAGACACCCTCTTTGCCAATGACACCGAGGTTTTCAAACATCTACATCACTTCTGAAAACACAGTGTAAAGGCTTTTGAAACTTTTCGGTCTGAAACCTTCCAATCGCCAAAACTCTAAGTGAAACCAGCTTAAATACTTAAATCCCGTTGGGATTGCTGCTGATTCCCAAAGGCAAACACCAGCAAGATGAAAAATGCAAGGAAAAGGAGCGCGTTTCATGGGTGGACAGGAAGACGGTCTCTCTTAATACATGGCGGTGGGGTCTGGCCGTGCTGAGACGTGCGGCGAGGCGGGAGCAGGAGGGCGGCTGGATATTTGCAACTGCAATACGTAGTGGCGGGGCTGAAATTGAGGTGCGCGGGGATTAGCAGCCCGACCTCTCTCGGGTTAACTCCGGTGGCAATTCCTACCTCTTTCCTGGCAACAAGCTCCCATGCAGATTCACGGGGAACGCCCCAGGGCTCCGCTATGCTGATGGCAAATATGGGAAGAGCAAAGCTTCTCTCTGTGTGTGTGTGTGTGCGCGCGCACGCGTGCGCCCATGCAGGTGTGCATACGTGTGGGGAATTATGCTGGAGCCCGGTGATGGATCACCAGACTTGGCATAAACACAATGCAACAAGATAAGAAACCATTTGGATTAGCATGTAAAGTATAATACACCCTTTCTACTTGATGCTTAACTGTCTGTGCGGGCGCCTTCATGTCAAAGAAGCTGCTGGATTCAAAGTATGTTGCTCTGATCTCCCTCGCGTTCCT